AATAAAGATAAATTCGTCATTTATATATAAAAAATAAATGTAATAAATGAAACAAAAATTATCGTTATTTTATAAAAGTAAATGATCGATTTATCTTTATTTATTTATTTCCACCCGCACTTAAAGTAGAGACTCACTTAAAGTGAGAGTGGAAATAAATAAATAAATATAAATGAATCATTTACTTTTATAAAATAACGATAATTTTTGTTTCATTTATTACATTTATTTTTTATATATAAATGACGAATTTATCTTTATTTTTTAAGTATAAATGATTCATTTACTTTTATGCCTTATTCTAAATGAACAATAAAACTAAATTAACACCCCTAATCTAGAATGAATATGAACTAAAGTACTCAAAAATTATTAAAATGTTTCTCTTCCTATATTTGACTATTATTTATTGACGTTTCGTGAACGACGTTCTCTTCATCAGTGACGTTCTCGAAGCGTAAATAAATAATAGTCAAACATAGGAAGAGAAACATTTTAACGATTTTTGATTATTTACAGTTATTACCGTTTTCTGTTGGTAACTATAGGCAAAGTTTTATATTTAAGAAACGTTTTGTGAAACCATAAAGAAGGTTAAAGAAGTCTTTTCTAAAAATGACATTCGACTCTCCACATCGTACTGCGTATACGAAAAAACTTTTTCGTTGCATGAAACCTATTTCTGTGGAGATATAAAATTATTTCTAAAACCATCTACAAATGTGCAAACAAATTCGCGCTTTTTCTAGTATTTAACGATATATCGGTATCACCAAGCTTTGTTATAAAAAATCTCCGTCACTACCAAGACAAAAAAGGCTAAACGAAGTAGCTGTGTTAATTTTTACGAAATTAAAAAACTAAAGGTTTTACTCAGTTTCTGTACTTTTTCGGGTATCGATTCCTTCCAGTCAGCCGACAGTTTGTTACCAACTACAAAAATGGTTAAATAATTTTTCAGTACTTGCATTTTGTGGCCTAACCATTTTTCTACTAATTATCTGCATAAGAATAATGAGCACAACCGGCGATTGAACATCGGTACATTTTTACAAAAGTTCATTACTGTAAGAGTACTTTTTGTTGGAGTCTTAACCATAATTGTACCCTAACAAGAAACGGTCAGAAGGCTTTGAGGAAAACTGTTTTTTGCAGAAAAAATTTCGCCAAATTTTGTGATACTTGATTCGGACAACTTCACAGAACAGACAAAAGAACTTGACCACCCTTCACGATAAAAACAATAAGTTTCAAGGGTTTCATTCTTTCGCTTTAAAACTGTTTTGATGGCACTTTAGATGTAGCTGCGTTCAAAGCTGAGCGTGATTATATTGACAATTGAGAAGAAGATTATTTTCTAAGAACAGAGTCAGATTCGAAGGTATTCTTGTGCGCAAAGGATAAAGCGAATAACATTTTAGTATTTTATTCATAAAAATCAGCGATAGACTTGTAATCTGGATGAACTGCGATCATTGACGATTGATAAATGTATTTCGCTCGAATGTATTGCTGACAACTGCTGTAGCGAACTCGAATTCAGTTTCTACTGGATGTGAATAAGGTATCTCAGCGGACTCGCTTAGACTTAGTTTAGAAAGTTCTCTAAAAGCCTATGCGAAATTTTCATCAAAACTAAAGTTTTGGTATCCATCCGCTTCCTCATAATGTTGACGGCTTCCGTTACCCATGTCTGATTCGAATTTACAAAACATGGTGTAAGTCAATTTTAATATTTAAACTTGACTTGCTTGAACTAATTAAATTTTGTTTTACAATTGCTTTTCTCCGTTAGAGAAAAGCTCAAGCCTTGGAAAGAGGTACTGGCCCTTATAGCAGATTGAACTGGCCCTTTGGTAGATAGTTCGAGGACCGAGCGGTTTGCTACCCAACATGTTAGGTCACCGAACGTGTTCGTCCTGAAAACTAAAAGTCTCAAGAAGAAAAAATTTCTTATGTGTTTACTATTGAAAAGTGTGAAATTTATTCTAAATCTGGGGCTCTTCGCTCTGCTTTTTACTCCTCGCGGCGTTTCTGAACATCTTACTTCTTTTAAGTAGCCCGAATGGGTTTTGGACTTTTTTTACAGCGGATTACAGGTTAATGGAGGCGTTGTTTTATCAGAAGAATTTTCTGCCTGATGAGTGAGATCTTCTGAAGTAGTTTATTCTGTTGATTTGTTTCCTGTCGTTTAGTATCAGTACTATATGCAAAGTAATAGTACGAGACAAATGGAATTGAATTCGGCATTGGAAAAACATTTGACTAATATGGAAATTAATTGTGTTCATTTATTGTTAGAGAATCACAATGACTGTCCGTCGACAATAATTAGAAAATATGCAAGTATTAATGAATTGTTTTCACTTCATGGTACACTGCACCAGCGAAACGGTCAACATTGAATCTTTCACAAGAAAAAAGCTTTCGTTTAACAGAAAACTCTTACCGTGAATTCGTACAGAGAAAAGAGTAGTCATGCTTAACGCATAAAACGGTTTTCTTCTGCACAAACCTGTCCATCATCACTGAATATTCTCACTTTGAGACACGCCAGAGGTTTTGACCAGCTCTAAGCGTTAAGAAGCCATGAACAAAGCTCAACATTAAGAGGAACTTTGAAAACGACAGAATAATCACCACAGAGGTGCACCCAAAGAGAAAATAGTCTCATACGTGAACAACATTGATTCTGTTGCCAGTGCGAGTTCTTTATTGCTAATCACTAAGGATGGGAATTTTAGTTCAGTTCTTTAGAACGATAAATGATCATCATTTGCTTTCAAAAATTTTATGTAAAAACAACGGCACAGCACAAGGACATTGGTTCTGTTTAGTCAGAGTGTCCAGATTGTGCTGTTTTTTTTCTAAAGAATTCTACAAAGAACTGATGATCAATTCTATCTTGGAAGTGGGCAGATGACGAGTTAGTTCTCAGACAGGAACTATAGGAACTGGAGCTGTCCCATCCTACTGCTGGTAGACTGATTTTGTATTTATCCTCTAATAGTGAATACCGAGGATTTTTGCATTCATGAATAACGTTGCAATTATCAGACATTATTAGACACAATTGAAATTTTCCACAGACAGAGAGCATCATTTCTCAGCAACCATTCCTACTTGTAATAAAGTGCAGTAGCTCTGAAAAATTGTCAACTTCGTTCACTATTTTCTTCGCCTTGTTGTAATTATTTCACAGAATAACGGTTTGATGCATAAACGATGTCTTCTCTTTTTCCATCTAGCGCTCTTTATCATGAGTTGATTTCTTTTACCGAATTTCAGGAGCATACTTGTGTCTATTGTTGGTTAATCGGTCGTCGCTTAAAATTCAACATCGCTTTGAAATTTATCCAGTATCGTCTTCGTGGTACAGACAGCCATTCGGGCTACACAAAGTGTACGACAAATGTTTAAACCATTTTCTTTTCCACCTTTTCCTTTTCGGTGGAAAACGTTTAAAGAGATTCAAAGTGCGATATAACGAGCCTACATCCAAGGCTGGAAGATCCATATAATTGCAACTTTGCCGAAGAGGAACTGAACCTTTAGGTTTTAAAACATTTTTCTCCCAGCCGACAGAAATTTAAACCTTTTTTCTTAATTTAACTTTTCTCCTCTTAAACGGCTGTTACGAAAGGTCAAGTTTACATGGATCGATAGTAAATTTTACCGGCTATATTCAGAATTCCGATAAAATACAGTCTAACAGGGTTCTCGTTCAAGTTTAAATTTTGAAATTCAAAAGTATCACCTAGAAAAACAAAACTCAAAATTCTTGAAGTATCTTAGTTTTATAAAATGACACCCTCTCTCAACCTTATACGACCTCTCGTTCGACCGGCTGAGAATTTCTAATTTCATGATGCATTCATCAGATGGCGCTTTTATGAGTGCGCCATTTTATTGCACTATTTTATCAGAATTCTGAAGCGACAGTTTTGTTCAGTTTTTCATGCTCTTCCGCACAGTGTATTCCAAAACGTTTTTGATCGATGTTTATTATGAAAAAGTTTCAATTTTTCGAGGTTTTTAAGCCTCTGTGGATAAAACCCAAACTTTCAGCTCAAGATTGCTGGCTTTGAATAAGTCTTTATTATAAAAATATAGCCCGTAAAATTTACTATCGATCCATGTAAACTTGACGTTTCGTAACAGCCGTTTAAGAGGAGAAAAGTTAAATTAAGAAAAAAGGTTTAAATTTCTGTCGACTGGGAGAAAAATGTTTTAAAATCTAAAGATTCAGTTCTTCTTCGGCAAAGTTCGAATTATATGGATCTTCCAGCCTTGGATGTAGGCTCACTTTGAATCTCTTTAAACGTTTTCCACTGAAGAGGAAAAGGTGGAAAAGAAAATGGTTTAAACTTTTGTCGTACACTTTATCTATACTTACATTGACTGGTTTCTCTAAGGCTCTATTGTTGTTCTGTGTAATGCTGATATTTATTTTGACCGTACACTTCGTTTATTACGGAACATAACACAGATGGAACAAAAAGTAATTGCATTAAGCGTTGTTGAAGCATCTATCGACGGTAACCAAACAGATAACAGGTGTGCTGGTGTTCATAAACATGTGGGTAGTTATGATACATATATTCTTCATCCACCGATTATCATTGAGAACTTTGAACAAATATTGAATGAAACCGATATCGATATTGGTGGAGTACTAGGGTATGTATGGCATATGCATAGCAAAGGTTTTATTTATCGTCTATTATTGTTTCTCAAAGTGGTGAAAATCGAATTTTGTATGAAATGAATAGAATATTGAATTTAACTGCATATAATCCATGTATAATAATCAAAGCTTACCATTTACATACAAGTAATGTTCGGACTTATAATGCCAATATAAGAATTAATCACAATGGAAAATCGTTGCAACCACCGCCAATTGATTATCTACCATGAATAATAAACGATTATGTAGCATTACACTGACACTTACCATATAAGTTAGATACTGTAAAACACTGAGAATTATGAATTTCGTTGTATTTTACTTTGGCGAGTTTAAGTTCAAAACTTCTATTCCAAAATTTTTTCGATTTTGATCACTGATGAGAGAATATTTGCAAGTATCCATGTGCTGGAAGTAAAAACATATCACTGCAACATGCATGGTATGATCTTGGGACATGAAAAAGCAAGTTTGCCTGAAAATTGGCTTCTGACTTCTCAGATTTTTACAAAACATTAAGTTATCTATGTCCGTCCATTTCTTGTACCTTCAGTTTCTTTCTTATCAAACAGCAGGTTTGTTGTTGTCTATTTTCACGCAGAATTAGAAAACTTATAACTAAGTCAAAATCAATCAAGATTTCGTTAGAATATCAAGATATACTCTATTTCATCTGCACTATATCATGAACCTCAATAGAACTTCTAAAAGCGAATAGATGACAAGAGTTCTAGACGTCGGCGGTCGTATCTTTTATCAATCCTTGGAATCACATTGTAGAGATAAAATAGAGTATATCTTGATATTGCAACGAAGTTTGCATCGACTTTGATTCAGTTATGGGCTTTCCAGTGTTATGCGAATATAGGCAAAAACAGGATATTCTACCTAATATAGGTTTCACAAGGCTTTTAAATTTTTTCGAACAGCAAAGATTTCCACGAGAATCAGTGCGACCGATTACATATGTTTCCAGTCGTTTTTGAGACCACTACATCTAAAGAGATGTCGATCCAACGATTTGAGGAAATCCGATGCCGTCCACGAAAGTTGAAGAGGCCGCTAAGTTTTCATTTTGAACAGGACACCACGCAGTGTGGAGACATATCCCGATCCGGATGTACGCCCAATCAGGATATATATCCCGATCGGGATATCATTTTTTAGAGCAAAATTTTTTTTATATCCTGAACGGGATATAGTTTGAAATTGTATCCCGATCAGGATATAATTCGATATCCCGATTGAGTCATCAAAAAAATCTATATCTCAATCAGGATATCAAAGATTTTGAATCGATCGTATATAAATTAGACTAAAATTTGTTAAAAATTTTTGTTCGAAAAAATGCTTGGTTAAAAAAAAAAGTTGCTTGATACTTGATGCACTTTTGACAAGGGGAAAAAAGCACACTCCGCCACTCCGTGGAGTGGCTCGGAGTGCCGTGAACTTAAGGAAACTTAAGGAATTTTCCTTACCTCAGAGCTAAATCAAAGGCTTCTGGATTAACAAAGTGGTCTTCCCCTATCCTGTTACTGAACAGGTGTGTATCATGAGAAAATTTTCAATTTTTACAGTATAAAGCGCCGAACGAATTTTTATAAATCTCAGTACTTCTGGGTTTTGAATGATATTCTGCCTGATGACTAACTCGAAATAGTCTTAAAAGTGCCAGAAGTAGAGATTTCAGAAAACCACGGTCTCTCACACATCGATTTACAGAGCATAATTTATTTTTGATTTTTTTATGTACTAAGAGAAGCATGGAAGATAAAATAAAGCGAAAGGGATCAAAGGATGAACAAAACTGAAAGGAAAGAATATAAAAGGATCTTGCTTGGTTAATTGATAAAAAACTGTTTTGTAATATTTTATTTTTATTTTTAATAGAAAAATCTATATTGTTAAAAGAGATACGACAAAGAAATTTAATAACAGAAAAATCGAGAGTATACACGAGAATTTAACGTTTCGAATTCTTCTTCAGTAAATGCTCGTGTAGAGAATGATATTCCGTAGTTCAACGTAGCTGTTTATACACGGTTTGGTGCCGGGAGACGAAAAATAAAAGAAGAGAGAAAAATGTCTTGTTTTGCTGGCGAGAGTGAAATTTGTGAAGTTCTTTGTTGAAATTGGACATCTTTGTCCAGTGAGTGAAGTTTTCTGAAGATTTTTGATAAATAATGATAAATCGAAGGAGAAGAAATTCAAGTGGAAAAAGACAAAAAAGAAAAGGAAAGCCTTACCCAACTTTTTGAAACTTGTTTTTTTTTGATTTTTTTGTGTACCAAAAGAAGTACGGTAGATGAAATAAAGCGCAAAGGATGAAAAAAGAGTAGAAATGATTCGGACATTGTTTGAATAAACGCTTGATTAAGTAATAAAATGTTTTTAGTTATATTTTGTTTTTGTTTTAATATAAAAATATATGCTTTCAAAAACTTACCAACGAATGTTGAATATATGAAAGAGACCGCCAAAATTATGCTTCTTGTATGAAAATATGAAGTGCGAACGTTTTGAATTTATTGAGTAACGCAAACGAAACTAAGCAACATTCGTCTATCTTCAGTTATTCAGTTCTATTATCAGTGCACACATTGATCAATCAACACCAATTTCCGATCGTTTATATCATGCGTGGGTGACTGTCTTTGTTAGCCGTTTTTGTTGGACGTGGTTAAAACACAGTACGTTTCTTGATAAATCGACAAAAAAATCATTGAAACAAATTAGGTTTCTTTTTTTTAATTTTAAATCAAATTAATAAATATTTTATAACTATATCCGCATTTTATTCGATTGAATTAAACGCACATAATTTATTGTATCTGACGCTATTAGTTATCCAAGAAGATTTACCAATAGAAGCATTGAATGTCTTTTTATTTAATTCGCAAGCATGTGAAGCAACTTTCAGGAATGCAAGATCATTGTGCGGTGTGTATTCAAGTATTACAAATTTTACTGTGAATGATTTTCTGTGACGTGCTCAAAAATTGTCCGTTTTAAACGCAATAAAAGCCTATGAACAATTACATCCACATGAAAATGAAATATTGTTTCCTATTCACCATAAACATAAAAAATATTCATCTAATTTAATTGATGATAATCCCCATTTGACAGTAACGTGTACTGAAACTATTATCAATCATGCTGATCAACAAGCGAAAAAGATAATTGTTAAATTGAGAATGTCAACTCTACTGGAAAAACAAACAGTTAGAATTAAATGATTTGAACTTATATGTATGTAATCATTTGACTATACAAATGATAACTCAACACTCGCCAATCGGTATGGATCTGAATCCGGTTCGGACAATGAAACAACAACGGATAATGAACAATATGGTGATAGTGAAAGTGGTTGTGACAGTGAAAATGAAACAAAATTAAATGAGATATTAAGATCAAAAACGAAAACTTTTTCTGGTATCCGATTACTGAAAACAATCAAACCGACATTGGATGATTCCTACTTCGATATAAAAATTAATGACGAACATAAATTTCTTCATAAACAAGCAGCGTGTAAGTTGTTAACTGATAAAAATACTCGTTTACCATCAGATAGATTAACGCGAGTAGTCGAAATTAGGAGTGGTACTTTCCCGTTATCGTTACTGTAACGGGCAATAGAAACCCGTTACCTGTTACCGGTAACGGGTAATGAAAATCCGTTACTCGTGTTACTTTTGGAAAGTAACGGGCGAATTATTTTTTTTCGGGTGAAATAACCTTTCAATTAATTTGTTAACCCGTTGAAACTCATAGAAATATTGAAGTGAAGGATAGATTTTTGTTACTTCGGTGATTCAAGCACATTCGAATGTACAGAACTCGTGTAGGAAATAGAGTCGAGTATAGGTTCGGAATTATGAAACAGTGGATTCTTTAACCCCAGCAAAAAATTTCAGAACTTCTTTTGGAAATAAATGCTTCATTCTAATGATTTACTGCTTATATCTTTCCTAAATGAATATAAAAATTATTCAGCGCAATAGTACATGAAGCTTACAGAGTTACAGTTCATATCACCCGACTTCGAAATTCTAAAATGCGATTTGAGTCCGGAGGAATCCGATATTCGGATCAGCATGGTCGATTGCCTCTGGGTCCATGATTTTAGTGTGGGGTACTTCCGAAAATTAAATTCGGGAGCCTTAAAAGTAATATTTTCAAGGTAGAAATATGAAACTTAAAAAAATTTTTCATTAGTTACAGAAGTTTAACAAGATAAATAACGGGTTGTCGAAACAAGAACAAGAATCTTTTACCGTTACTTTCCGTTACTTACTTTGTAAAGTAATGGATTTTTGTTGGGTTTAATTTTAAATTTTTATTGGTTTTAAATTGGTATCATTATTCTAAATTTATAGGCCCAACGAAAGGCCCGAACCTGAAACTCACCATACTGAGAAAAGTATCATTTTCAGTAAAACTTTAGTTATAAACTTATACATGATTACTTTTCAATGAAAGTTTGGTTCATTGGTCTCAATAAACTCTTTTTGATAGTTTATTAATCTACGACTATTTTTAGAGTGTAGACCTCATTGGTAGAATTGATTTATGCATAGGAACATGCTGTCAGGTCCTTGTTACTAGGGATGGCGCTTTCCCGTTACTTTACTCCGAAGAGTAACAGTTTTCCGTTACTAGTTACTAGTTACTGCTTAGGTAACACCCAAACGCTTCTTTTCCATATCTTTAATGACTGACCCCACCTTTCTGGATATTGTGACCAGCTTACTTTTTAGAGAATTTCAAGGGCGATCCAATGGTATGTTTTTGAACAATACAAACTTTTTCGTTATGGCAGAAAAACGACTAACAGAGTGTTCAAGGCACTAAGATAGGTGAAAATCATTAGATTGGACGTTCATAATAATTACCACATCG